ATTACCTGTAGTTTGACATAGTAGCAGCTTGTCCACACCAATTGGCTTAACCTTGTAGATTGAATACGTGCACAGTCGATCATATAGTATACATAAATGAATTCCCTAATAATGCAAATCCAGAGGAAATTATGGAGGAGGATTTGGAAACCCGGACAAATCAGGAAAGGCAATAAATCCTAATTTTAAATTCAAAATTCAAATTAAAGTTTCAAATTATGGAGAAGGAATTGGAAACCGAGACAAATCAGGAAGGACAATAAATCCTAATTAAAATTTTAAATTAATTAAGAAGCTCAATTAAAGGCTCCCATTTTAGAAGTTAATTAAAGTTTTTCTTTGTCATGTTATGTTGTTCTTTATGTTATGTGTTTATTTGTTTTCCTAAAAGTAATTTTATAGGTTATTATCTTCCCAGTTTGGGATGGGATGTTTGTAATATGTTTCTATTATTTAAATGGAGTAAGAAAAAACGATAGGGGCAATGACTATTGCTACTACTTCATGAGTTTTTTTGAATTCCGTTGATGAGTTTCCAACAGCGCAGGGGGATTCTGTTTCCCCTCTCTTGAGCCCAACGAGATATTGAACTTAAGGGAAGGCATCAAACTTGGAATCAAAGACGATCAAAGTTCCCTCACTACGAAGTCGTCATCTCATGTCTATAACTCGCAGTTGATGCCTTCCTTTAAGTTCAATATCCCGTTGGACTCAAGAGAGGGGCAAAGCAGAATCTCTCTGCGCTATTGGAAACTCACCAACGGAATTCAAAAAAACTCATGAAGTAATAGCAATAGTCAATGCCCCTATTTTTTTCTTACTCCATTTAAATAATAGAAACATATAACAAAACCTCCCATCCCAACTGGGAATGTAATAACCAATAAAATTACTTTTAGGAAAGCAAATAAACACATAACATAAAGGAAAATATAACATGAAAAAGAAAAAACTTTAATTAACTTCTAAAATTGGAGTCTTTAATTGAGCTTCTTAATTCAAATTCAAATTTTGAATTTTGAATTTTGAATTTTGAATTT